ATTCCCCTTATTTCCTGTTTCTTTCCTACAGTTTTGTAATTGAAATTTATATTTCTCTTCCATGCCTTGAGTTATTTTCTTTGTCTTTTAGCTTGTTCTGAAATAGTGTGATTTTGATCTGTTCCCAAGGTATGTCTCTCATTATGTGTAGGGAGTGTTGTTTGCTTTTTATTGTTTTTTCTTAAAATAGCTATGAGATGGGACACTGATATTTTTCTGTTATTCATTTTTATGTAAAATTTGTTTTCCTGAACTTAGAGAAGGGAGTCATGATTCAGGATAACTTTTGTAATGTCACAGAGCTCCCTCTTCTGTTGTTTTTGTAAACTGTTTAAAAATATAATGGCTTCCTTTCCCTTTTTCTACTTTTATGTGGATCTTTCTTTCCTGTCTCTGTTGTCTCTACCCTGCTCAATTTTGGTTCCAAACCCTACAGCTTTTGAGGGAAAGCCCTATCCTGGAATGCAACTTTGGTTGGTAGGTTGGTTTTAAGAATTTATATGACTTGGACTGCTCCATCCTTTTTCAGAATTTACCTCACACTCACTCATTAGTGGATTGGGCTAAACCTTTCCCATTTTCAGATTCTCTTTTCAAATTGGCTATCATATTGTCCAGTGAATAGACAGTGACTATTCTGAGGTACTCAAGTCCTTCAAATGCCCATTGCTTCTGTATGCATCCTCCTGCACAGATGCTGATTTCATGCAGGTCTCATAACTTTTGATGCTTTTTCCCCACTTTTATTTTGAGCTTCATGTAGATAATTTTCACCTGTTGTTGTATGTATTCTGCATGGGATTTTGGTTTTGCTGTCTTAGTCATTCTTTTTGATTTTAGGTGGTGATTCAAGTAAATTAAAAAATCTGTGATGTAGTATCTGCCACCAAGAGTTCAGGATCCACTCTGCATTCATATTTTAAAATTTCCCTGTATGGACTTGGAATTTCTGGCCTCTCGCTGATGACTTGTCTCCCGTGTTTGTGCTTCGTTCTGAAACTTTAAAAAATCTGTTGATAGTTGGATACTGCAAAACCTGTCACCTTAGAGAAGGCTAGAAAGAAGCAGTTTATCATTATAGTGAAAATGAAAGCATTTACACATTGAGGTGAAGTTGCAAATGGTACAGAACATGTTTGCCTACAGAATGAACATCAGAAACTTTCTGAAGGCCAAAGAGCAAATTATGCAACCTGTGACGTGCTGTGCTTGTGTCTTTGAAAGTAATCGTAATAAGCGAGAAACAGGAAAGAGGGACTGGTAGGGTGAGGACAGCCTTTCAGTTCAAGGATTGCCATCAATGCCTGATTTGGGGGAGCTTAACTTTAATTCAGGGGAAGACAGGGGGTTAATTGAGGATAAAGCCTGTGCGAAAACAGTGAGAGATGGACTTTGGCCACAAGCAGCAGAGAGTTTTATAAATTCAGGGCTCCTAAGACACCTGCTCAACATCAAAGTGAATGCCCAGTGGCTAATGCAAACACTAGAGACGGATTGGGCATTCCTTAGGTTACTAGGAAACAAAGATAGTTAAAACTTCAATAGGATTTTTTTTTTTTCCCAGCATAGTAAAAAAAATGGGAGGGAAAAAAGGCCTGATGGAAAAAGGTATCAGCGTAGAGGAAAAAGAAATTTCTAGTTGGAAAGTGACATAGGGCCAAATGACATACAAGTACATCCAGGCAAGTCCATCCAGGGACTGTTACCATAGTCACTTCTCAGTCCCTTGCAAACATAGTCACTTCCCAGTCTCTTGACTTCTTTACACCTATCTAGTGAAAGTTGCTCAGTCGTGTCCAACTCTGCAACCTGTGAACTATACAGTCCATGGAATTCTCCAGGCCAGAATACTGGAGTGGATGGCCTTTCCCTTCCCCAGGGGATCTTTCCACCCAGGGATCGAATCCAGGTCTCCTGCACTGCAGGCGGATTCTTTACCAGCTGAGCCACAAGGGAAGCCCTGCACCTACCTAACCTGATAGTAAATCGAATAGCTTTTGTACAGTGTATACTGAATAGTGGCAGATTGTTTCATTGAAGGTGCAGAAACATTTTGAATATCAGTTTTTTACAACACCAAGGGGAGAAGGGTAAATCAATATAAATATTTATGCAGGGAAGTAAACTATTGCTGTCTAGCTCTGCCCAAGTGCAGAAGCTCTGGGACATGAATGGAGGTTGGTGGGGAAAATAGTGGGAGTTAATGAGTTCGGAGAGGGAACCACCAGCCAGGTCGTATGGGGTTTTATTGGCCATAATGGTAAGAACTTTGAAGTTTATTACAAGGTGTTTGGAAGCTGTTAGCAGATTGAGAGCAGGGGAACAGTGAGCAACTGATGTAAATGATGTTTTCAAGCTAGCTGGAGGTCAGAAGTACTGTGTGTGGTGTGCTCTGGGCATAGTAATAGACATGTTAGAATGTAAAGAACCTGGGCTAATATTGATTACATTCTCTAAATTTATGGTTTTAGAGTTAAGAGCTACAAACATGAGGTGTTGAGATATATGTGTGCATATGTGTATACAGAAAAACACACATTTTTTTGTTTTTCAAGCAAAACTTGCTGAACAGTACTGAACCTCATTTCATATATTCTTACTTCTGTTCTCTTAATTTTTTTTTTTTAAACCACTAGTCAGCCCAGTAAATTGACTTAGTAACACACTATTGTTGTTGTTCAATCCCTAAGTTATGTCCGACTCTTTGCAACCCCATGGACTGCAGCACGCCAGGCTTCCCTGTCCTTCACTATCTTCTGGAGTTGGCTCAAATTCATGTCCATTGAGGCAGTGATGCTATCCAGCCATCTTATCCATTAGTAACACAATAATGGATCAGAGTTTGAAGTTTGAAAACCACTGTAAATCTATAATCCCCTTATATAGCTTGCCAAGGCACATATAACTGAAAATGACCAAACCAGAATTCAGATATTGCCACATTTCCTAAGAATATATCTATTAAACAAACAGAAAAAGAAGCTTGTTTATACAATGTTTAAGAGTAGGTTCCAGTGTGGAAAAAATCTTGAGGATCATTGTCCCTTCTTGAGCATCTTGCCTATGCTTATCTCCCTGGTGTGAAATGTTAAGGCCTTTAAATTTCAAATGTACTTGTAAAATATCAACACAATTTTCTTTCCTAATGGCCTGTAATTAAATATATAAACTGCTAGCCAAAGTAACAGTTGGTCTTTCTTGAATTATAAACAGAATAAGTCATTTATAGCCAGCGTGGTGGCCTTTAAATTGTCGCCTAGGAATTAATGAAAAGAAATGTCATTTTCATATTTTCTGCAAATTGCTTATTCTTTTGTTGTGTTTCATTTTGGAAGAGGGTTTTATGGGAGGAGTGAAGGATAAATGAAACATGAAGGTCAGTATGAAGTAATGGGGGAAAAATGTCCCTTTTAATTCTGTTATATAAATCCCTGCTTCTGTCTTCCATACCTCTGTGACCTTTGGAAAGATACTTGCCTGTGCCCTACTTTTCTCATATATAAATGGAAATAATATCTATATCATAGCTTTAATGTTAAGATTAAATGAGGGCCTGGTGGTACAACATGTATTTTAATAAATATTAGTTTTCTTCTTTCCTTTCTTCTTTAGGAAGGAATTCAGTGAAAATGTGTTGCTAGAATAAGCAGGGCTGGAGAGTGTAGAAAAATGCAAAAAGAAAGGTACATCTTTTTTTATTGGTTGTTCTCTTCCTAGTAAGTCTGTTGTGTGTGATCCCAGTTGTTGATAATTTCTTTGGGGATAGGTAGGTGATAAATAAGTAGGCTTCCTGTGCCTCCTGCCGTCCTTTCCCTTCTTAAAGAGGGAGGATTACCCAAGTGATGAAAGGCAAGTTTAGTGGGACTAGAAAGTAATACCTTCACAGTTGATTCCAGTATTTTAGTTTCTCCTGTCTTCAATCTGTTTATCACAAAGAATTTACTGAAGACATGTCAGTCCTAATACCAAGTATGGTAGTTCACTAATAGCTGTTCATGTAGGTGTTACCTACTACCAGTTGTCCTTGCCTATGGAGTAAATAACACTTCCTTTGATTTAACCTAGAAATTATAGCAGCAGAGTTACAAAGTCAAAGTGAGATAAGAAGATAAAATTAGAGTTTTGTATAATTGCCTTTAAAAAATGTTTTATTGACATATAATTTATATGCCATAAATTCAGTCTTTTAAAATGAACAATTCAGTGATTTTTAGTACATTCAGAGAGTTGTACAACCATCACCACTATCTAACTTTAGAACCTTTTAATCACCCGAAAATGAAACGTTATACCCATTAACAGTTATTCACCCCACCCCATCCCTCCTCACCTCTGCCCTGACACCTCAACCCCTTGCATCCACTAATGTGCTTTTTATATCTGTGGATTTGCTTATTCTGGATATTTCATATAAATTGAATTACACATGTCTTTTGTGACTGATTTCTTGTACTTAGCTTAATGTTTAAAAGTTCATTCATGTTGTAACATAAATCAGTACTTCATTACTTTTTATTGCCAAATAATTAATTCATATGGATATACTACATTTTATTTTCCTATTCATCAACTGATGGACATTTGGGTTTCCATTTTTTTGGCTCTATCTAATGAATAATACTGTTGTGAACATTTGTGTACAAGTTTTTGTGAGGACATGTTTTCAGTTCTCTTCAGTATATACTTCAGAGTGGAACTGCAGGGTCATATGCTAGCTTTACATTCTAACATTTTGAGGACCTTATAAACTGTTTTCTGAAGTGATATACCATTTTGTCCCACTGGATTTTAAATCTCCCACTTTTAAAGTTCTGATTTTATACATAATGGAAAATCTTAGCTGAAATAAGCAATTTGAATTGATAGGGGGAAAAAATTCACCTGTAGTAGTTTGCAAAGTTGGAAGTACCTTTTTTTTTTTTGGAAGTACTTTTTTTAAAAGTAGGTTTGGAATTATTACTATTAATCGTTGGCTCTTTTTTTAAATTTTATTTTTGCAGTTTTATCTTCAAGACACTAAAAGTAGTAATGGTACCTTTATAAATAGCCAGAGATTGAGTCGAGGCTCTGAAGAAAGTCCACCATGTGAAATTCTTTCCGGTGACATTATCCAGTTTGGGGTAGATGTGACGGAGAACACACGGAAAGGTACGGGTATGGATCGATTTTTCCTATTATTTGTCTTGTTAAATTTTTTATTCTGTTGTTTAACGCTAACAAAATATTTCATGCTTGTAAAAGCAATTTAACTGTGACATTTCATGCAGTGAAATGTTGAGTGTCTCACTTTTCCTATTGCTTTTCTGAAATTTTAAATTCTGAAATATTAAATAGTTTATAATCTTTATCACAGTACCAAAACATAGGGCACTGCTGTATCAGTTAAGAAGCAGTTGGCTGAAGTGACACTAGCCAACAGGAGCTTAAACCATAAGGATGAGTGTGAAAACATTAGTCACTCAGTCACTCCGACTCTTTGCGACCCTATGGACTGTACCCTGCCTGGCTCCTCTGTCCACGGAGTTATCCATTATCCAGGCAAGAATGTTGGAGCCGGTAGCCATTCCCTTCTCCAGGGGATCTTTCCAACCCAGGGATTGAACCTGGGTCTCCTGCATTCTGGGCAGCTTCCTTACCTTCTGAGACACCAGGGAAGCCCCAAACCATCAAGATATCTATTATTAACTTATTAACAATAAGCCTGGAAGTAGGTTGGTCCAGACTTCGTTCAGTTGGCTCTGTAATGTTATCAGGAGTCCAGGCTCTTACTGTCCTCCCAGGCTGTTATCCTTTATGTGTTAGTTTCTTAAGCTTTTACTTGCCACCTTATGGTTTGAGGGTGATGGCTTCAGCCCCAGGCCTTATCTTCCCCACACCAGTGTCCTAAGCAAAAAAGATGAGATGGGGACAAAGAACCTTCTAGGGCGACTTTCTTTTTATGTTTGAAAGAACAATCTTTCATAGACTCCTTCCAGCAGATTCCTTCTTTTGCTCACTGGCTACGTGGGTGGGTCATGTATATAGCTTTAGCTCTAGTTACAGAGAAGCCGGGGAAGGAAGTTACCTGACCAAGGGGAGCAGGAGATCCATGACTAGCGTAGATCAATTATGATTTATCCCTTTGGTTGTGCGTTCATTGTTGCCCCAAACAAAATCAGAATTCTGTAGGCAGCTACTACAAATGTCAAATTTCATGTCTCAGTTTCTGAAATTAGAAGTTCTGCGGCTAAATAAATTTAGATTATAATTCTGAGACATTTTGGCCTTACCTAGTTCACTGTATAGTTTATGACTGAAATTGTAATGACTGAATCATAAAACTAAAAAAATAGAAACCAAAAGCATGCCGTCCCACTTCTTGTAGTTTAGTATGCACAGTGGAATGATTGGCAAGTTTGTCCTTTTGTTTCTCTGAGCATCCTCTGATCTGAATACCCTAAGTTGTTAGCCTCTAACATTTTGCACAGTAGATGAGGGAATCCAGGTGTGATGGTGATGATGGTGCAACCCCATGGATTGTAGCCTGCCAGGCTCACCTGTCCAGGCAAGAATACTGGAGTGGATTGTCATTCCCTTCTCCAGGTGATCTTCCCAACCCAGGGATTGAACCCAGGCCTCCCACATTGCAGGCAGATTCTTTACCATCTCAGCCACCAGGGAAGCCCTATATGTATGTATGCATATACATTTATGTACTGCAACTACAATATTATTTTTGTTGGGTTTTGTTGGCCTTCTCAGAGTGTTAGGATTTGATACATGGATGTGTGCAGGGCCAGCGTCTTAGGAATTTTCATTTACAGTTGTAAAATAGAAAAGAAAATTTGTATTTTGATGCAAAATACTGAGTGCTTCTTACTTAGAGAACTCCACTTCTGTATAACCATACTGAGAACAGCTGCAGTGGACACTTTGATATCTCCTGTTGCTGTATCACATCTCCTCTGCTACCGAGTCATTCACGAAACATTTACTGAACCCCAGCTGTGAATAACCCAGAGAAGGCAGAATTTAATTACGTTGTCTTTCTCTCCAAGGAATATCTATTTTCTTGTCTTGCATTTCTCAAAGAGAATTAAGAGGTGTTAATTGGCAGAAGAATGAGGTAATCAAATACATTTAGGAAATGCTTAACCAAAGGTAGGCAAGACATCTCAGAGCTTTTAACATGCTAACATATGTGCAGGTCTCTAAGAGGGTAATCGATTGAATGTAGGTAACTCCAGACTGTTTCCACTTTTCTTCCCCATCTTGCTGTGCAGGACACTTTAGAAAATACTGTAGAAAGCTAAGAGCAAAACTGAGACTTAAGTGTTAGTACAGTATTATTTGAGCAGCATCAATTCTTGCAGGCTTCTTTGAAAATTTACATATCTTTTATGCCAACTTTAAGGATATTAAGAAAATTTTCTTCGTCATTTAAAATGTTTCTTTTGGTACTTAATTGGCTTGAAAAAGTTGACTTATATTATGCATGGCCTCTTGGGATTCAGCTATGTCATGAATTGAGTATTACTATTTAAGCATATGCTTTAAAATAAAAAGATGTTGCTCTATGCTAAACATTATATCAGTTGGAAAATCCTGTTGAAATTGTGCAACATTATTGGATAACTGGTGGATCAAAGAAATCAAAAAAAGGAACTTGAAACTATGTGGAAAGGAAAGAGACTTTCCTACCAAAATATATTAAATCCTTTACTCAGATAAAAATTTACAATCTAAAATTTTTCCATTATTAAAAAAGAAAGACAAACAATGAAGGAACTTGGCACTTGGAAGAAATTAGAAAAAGAACAAGAAAAAGAAGTTTGGAAGAAGAAAAATGAAAAGCAGAAATTAATGAAATGAACAAAAAAAATTTAGAAGGGGTAAACAAACCCAACTGCTGGTTCTTTAAAACAAGACAATAAAATAGGTAGTTCATAAGCCTTGATTCCTTTATTAGGTTAAAAAATACAAGGATTGAGAAAGGAGATATAAACAGATATGGGATATACCAAAAGAATTCTTAGAGACTGTTACATACCAAACTGTGGCCAAAAAAAAAAAAAAATAGAGTAAATTAATGTTTTCCTGGCAAAAGTACCCCAAGATGTAGAGAACTTTCAAATTTTTTTGAAGAGCCTAAAAAAGTTATTAAAAATTGACTAGAAACATGCATTTGAAGTTGAATTTGGCCTTATTAAAAAAAAGATAAATCCAGTGTTGTGTAAATAATCCAATATAGGTGAAGGTGAGAAGCTCTGAAAATCGTTTAAAGAAGCCAGCAGCCTTTCATTAGTGCCAAATTCTGATACAGATAAAGTACAAAGAAAAAAACCTGTAATTTCATTTGTAACAATAGATAAAAAATTCTGGTTTGGATAGTAATAAATTCAGAAGTGAAGCTAGAATAAACTGAAGTAGGATTTACTCTAAGAATGCAAAGATAATTCAATTTGGGGGAAATATGTCAACATTGTGCACAAAATAAAGCTGAGAAATATGTACTGCAGAACCAGTGGATGTTGAAAAGGCAGTTGATCAAGTTCAGGAGCTATTCCTAGTAAAAATTGTAAATAAATAGGATGAAAAGAAAAACAAAATTATAATTAAAACAGAAGACAAATAACAAAAATGCTGCACATCTATAAAAATGCATGAACTAAGTTTGTGTATATCAATAAAGATAAATCTCAAACATTATCTCAAGAAAATTACAAAAGAATGTATATGGTATAATACCCTTTACATGAAGCATGAATTCATGTACAACAATGCTCTGTTGTGCTTTCTTTTATTATATCAATTAAATTCTTTAAGATCTTTTAAAATTGAAGTATAATTAATTTACCATCTTGTGCTGGTTTCAGGTATATAGCAAAGTGATTCAGTTTTCTGTGTGTGTATATGTCTGTTCATGTATGTATGTGCATTGTTTTTCAGATTCTTTTCCATTATAGGTTATTAAAAGATATTGAATATAGTTCACTGTGCTATGCAGTAGGTCCTTGTTGTTTATCTATTTTATATATAGTACTGTGTATATATTAATCCCAAGCTCCTAATTCATCCCCTAACTTCCCCTTGCTATCCTATTTGGTAACCATAAGTTTATTTTCTATGTCTATGAATCTGTTTTTGTTTTGTAAATGAGTTCATTTATATTATTTTTTTAAGATTCCATATATAAATGGTATATGAAATTTGTCTTTCTCTTATCTGACTTACTTCACTTAGTATGATAATCTCTGGGTCCATTGATGTTGCTACAAGTGGCATTATTTCATTCTTTTTTATGACTGAGTAGTCTTCCATTATGTATATATATACCACATCTTATGGTTTTCTCCAGATATATGCTCAGGAGTGGGATTGCAAGATCATATGATAACTCCATTTTTAGTTTTTAAAGAAATCTCCATGTTGTTTTGCATAGTGGCTGCACCAGTTTACATTCCCACCAACAGTGTAGGAAGGGTCCCTTTTCTCACACCCTCTCCAACAAATTATTATTTGTGGACTTTTAATGATGTCCATTCTGACCCATGGGAGTTGATATCTCATTGTTACTTTGATTTGCACTCCTTTAATAACTAGCAATGTTGAGAATCTCTTCATGTGCCTACTGGCACCTGTATGTCTTCTTTGGAGAAATGTTTATTTAGGTCTTTGGCCCATTTTTTGACTGGGTAGTTTGTTTTTATTGAATTATATGAGCTGCTTACATATTTTGGAAACTAATTCCTTGTCTGTAGCAAGATACAAGATGTAGCAAATATTTTCTCCCAGTCTTTTCATTTTGTTTATGGTTTCCTTTTCTGTGCAAAAGCTTGTAAATTTAATTTAATTAGGCCCCATTTGTTTATTTTTGTTTTTATTTCCATTTCTCTATGAGACTCTAATGGTTGTTCTCTAATGCTTTTGAACACATTTATAATGATATCAAATTGGACACTTGAAATGATAAAAAGTAATGTGTGTGGATCTATGAAAAGGATTTTTTTCATCAGTGTGCATAGGATAAAAAACAGTGGAAAGATAATTTTTAAATTGCCCTTCATGCACGTATTAAAAAGAATACGTTAGGATTGTATGGCTTGCAGGAATTTCTGTTAAGATATATTATTAAGTGAGGAAAGTCCTCATAAGTCCTTATACATGTG